AACAAATCATCAGAAGGCTTGGTTACCTAGTTGAGCCTGGTATCTAAGCTCCTTTAGAAAGTGATCCCAAAAAAAATTTCTGCGGGGTGCTATATAACACTAATAAACAGGACAATATTATATAACAACAAATATTTGCTGTAAATGAAATATGTAAGGCTATGATGAATATATGCATAGCATTGTTTCGTATCAGTTTGGAGATAATCACATATATATTCATCCAATTACAAAGATATTTAGAGTATGCGGAAATATTTACGTCCTTTTCCATTCACATATATCTAATACGGTTATTATGCAGGCTATCAAGTTGGGTCAGTGGTGATACTTTATTGCAAAGTAAGTATTTCATGTATAAGGAATTATTATGTCCTCAATGTGGACTCCAACCAAGAGATGAGTTTAAAAGGAAAATTTATTCCACATTCACAATCAATCGAGTAAATTGAACGCATCCGATTACGTTGAAGACGAAGGTAAAAATGATGTAAATGATGTAATTGATGTAATCGATGAAAAGGTGAAATGATGGTTCGACTAAAAGGAAAAATTACGACTATAAATTATAATGGATCTAAGAAAATTGACAAACGAAATGAAAACAAAAAAAAAAGACTAACGACTTACAAATATTTCCTCCTATTGATGTGAACGGGTCGAGTAAAATAAACGATGATTTGAAAACAAGATCTTGCCGTGACGAAAGCCAACACTGAATATATATTACACTGAAAAACTAGAACTTAAAGGCGTTATCAAAAGATTCACATGAAGATTAAGGTTAAAATTTAAATCGAGAGTAACGCACTTACGTGACCGGTCACGCACGTTTGAATCTTACACTCAATACATATTATGTCCTATACTTTACATACATAAAATGTCCTATACTTCACTTATAATATCCTACACGTACAGTGCAAAAGAAGACTAGATACAACTATACACAGCTATACAGAGCTATAAACAATCATACAGAGCTATACACAGCTACACAGAGCTTTGCACAGCTATACAGGGCCATATAAGGCTATACACAGCTATGAAGAGTTATACAGCGCTATACACAGCTATACAGAG